GTGTGTGTGTGTGTGTGTGTGTTAGGAAACGGAAGACAGAAAATGCTTCAACACTGTCCATAGCCACGTGCTCGCCTCGGTTGCCCTGGCAACAACAGCGCAGACAAAGCGGCAGAGTCCTTGAAAGCAGCAATGCCTCGAGAGTGAATGGAACAATGGGGAGATTTGATGGAGCTGTGGGGAGATGCAGAGGAACTGTGTGTGTCTGGGTGTGTGACTGAGGTTTGCATGACTTTCAAACTACTGCCACACGCCAGTAGCCCGATTTCTCTTTAGCCACAGTACCATTTATAACGTGACGCACTTTGTAACCTTGTTTAGATAAGTGCTATATAAATAAAGTTATTATTGTTAGTATATGTGTGTATCTGATGAGTTGAACAAAAGCACGGCAGGAGCATGAAGTACTGCTGTGATTAATTCTTCTGACGGAGTAAAAAATGATGAGGTATTATTATATATTAGTCACAAGTGACACTGACCTCTGCAATCAATGGTGTCGTGCTGCTCTCCTCTCCAGTGCCCAGGCTGATGACCGAGTGAGAGTCGAGAAGAGAGACCGCGCTCAGTTCGAGTTCCCGTCTGCGATGAACACAGTCACAGACTTCTACTACCACACTGAGAACAAAGGTGTGTGTGTGTTTGCCTCTTTTCTTTTCCATCTGTTACTCTATATACTTTCAGACATGCACAGAAGTCAAGACACACTCTGTAAATTTTCCTGATGGGAAGTGAGAACGCAAACGTCCGAGTGGGTTGCTCCAGACATTCTCTCTTTGACACTTTACCACTTCCCTGTATATTCATTGATTTTACAGAAACGTCCATGTGTTTGATTTATTGTTGTCAATGCAAAAATAGACATTTCGGCTGAGTTGGTATTTTCTTCTCCCACCATCTTCGATGGGCTGTGAACAAAACCCCCGTGGTTTCTGCAGTGGGATTTATACGTCATATTCAGACACTGCCCCTCGCATATATGTTCTGGAGATTTTCCTGTTGTTGTGAACGTTGACAACCCCTTGTGTGTGAAAGACAAACTCCAGAAACGGTCTCAAACTAGCACACTGGACATGTCTGAGGAGGGGGCTTGTGACTCGTGGATGTGTTTTTGTGTGTTGTCCATGAAGATGTGACGCGTACACGGATGTGTTTTGTCTCACAGCCTCTAGGTGTCTGTCAAGTGTAGCATCCATGGAGCCTCCAGTGATCTGCTGTCTGGGACCACTCATACAGTATCTCCAGGAATTCAACTTAGAGAGAGTTTTTAGGAGTGAAAGGTAAACACGCACGCACGCACGCACGCACACACGCACACACACACACACTCACACACTCACTACTGCTTAGCGTTATGTGCCATTTAAAAAAAAAAAAAAAAAAAAAAAAAAAGCCCTTCTCATTTTCCTGTTCATGATATTTGAATTAATATCTTGAATGACATTCTCCAGAGTCACATAGAAGTGTGGATAAAACCTCTGATGTCACTTATTCGTCAGCAGAGTAGTTGATCTTCTCTGCAGGATGAAAGTGCAAAAGAAAATCTTTCTGATGATGACACACTGACAGACACTGAAGTGTGGCTTGAACCATTGTGCACCTCACAGGGTTATTCTAGAGTGAAAGTGTAACTTCTATCAATTTATTTTAATCCATTTACAACAATCAAAGTGAACACCAGCATTTTAAGAAGCTGAAAATCCTTTTTTCTGTCACAGAATCGGTTTGATTCAAGTTGAAGACAGAATGTGGAATAATTTTAGTAAAATGATGCTTTTCACATTGTGCAGTTGTATTGTAATAATCTGTGTGCTCTGAACAGCTCCTTCCAGCGTCTGTCATGCCAGTCACAGGGAATGACCCTCAGTGCCACCACCCTCAGGAACCTGGAAATCCTCAGCAATCAGGTGAACGCACATCTCACCTGGCTGTTTACACTGCACCATAATATATAACCCTCTATCTACATATGCTAATAATAAAAAGACACATGCACCGTGTCTTCGGCCTTGTGGAGGAAATTAAATTTTATTCACAATTATCATTTGAACCGAATCTAAAATCTTGTGTCTGTGAAAGGAGGTGATGTTACCTGTCGCCATAAACAACCTGTCAGGTAGTTGACTCAATATCTCAGTGTTTAACTTGCTACTAGTCTATTTTATACAGTTACTGAGACCAAGTCACTGGAGAAATCATGTTACAGTCTTAGTTGTACAGTGGAGCGTAAAAAAATGAATGCATGAAATAAATTGAAAGAAAATGTTCAGTGACTCTTCAGGCTTCTGTGGGTAACGGCTCAAAAGTTCAGCACGACTCTGCTGTGGTGTGTGTGTGTGTGTGTGTGTGTGTGTGTGTGTGTGTGTGTGTGTGTGTGTGTGCTGTGTAGGATGTAAGCATGTCAGACACACACACACACACACACACACACACACACACACACACACACACACACACACACACACTCATGACTCTTGGAGTTCAAGCCCAGTTCATGCGTTCTCCTCTGACTGCTTGTGGCTTCCATAACCTGCTCACCACTTCCATTACTAATATCAGATGTTAATAGTGATCAGAAGTGGTCAGCGCTAATATTTTGTTTTGTATTTTTCTATTTATTTATATTTTTACTAATTTAATAAATAATTTGACTGCATAAGTCTCAAATTGTTTTTAATTTGTGTTTTTCTTTGCTCTTGTTCTTAAGATTTTTTTATATCTGTCTTATTATTATGTTGTCGATCATCTGTGAAGCACTTTGAACTGCACTTACCTACATGAAAGATGCATATAAATAAATAAAGATTGATTCATTGATACACTACTTGTGCATTAAATTCAAGCTGCATGTGTGTATTACTGCATGTGATTCATTGCATGTGATTCATTGCATGTGTGTATTACTGTGATTTGTATAATCAGTTCTTATCTTGAAACGACAGACAGATGGTGGTGTGAGGGGCAGCCTGTTGTGGGTGTTGGACCACACGTGCACCCGGTTTGGGAGGAGACTGATGAGGAAGTGGGTGAGCCAGCCCCTCACAGACCCGCAGTGAGTTATTAATCAACAAAGCTGTTTTAAAATGCTTTTTAACACTTCATGTTTGTCCGAATCACAAGTGCACATTTATACACTGTTAATCAGTTTACATGTGTGAATAAATCCAGTGTTAGGACCAGAAATATAAAAATAAGAAGCCTAAGGCACAATTATTTTTACATTCTTCTAATTAAAATATGTTTTTTTATCACTGCTGTTTTGAAGAATAAACGATTGCATTAGTTTCTTCTTCCATACGTGCCTAAATGAGCATCACAAGTCACCCGACTGTTATTAAAGAATATCTCCACATCCCATTTATTTTTTTTGTGTCTAGTACTTTTAATGAAATTCTCCAAAGCTGCATTAACTCCATGTGAGCCGTGTTAGAGCGGATGCAAGAAAACACCCATAAAGTGAACACTTGCATAATTGTCTCTCGGAGGAGCAGCTGCTCCTCTTTCAAAAACACTGCAGGGTGAGAACACACATCAGAAGTCAAAACTGACTCACAGCACTTCTGCTACAAACAACCACTCAGTTATAATGCTGCTGTTCTCGTTCTCCTCTCTTCTCTGCATTGTAATTTTAGTGTCATCTATGTTTTCTCTGTGTGAGTATTTACTTTCCGTGGGTTTGTGTGTGAGTTGTCCTCCCTCTCCTCCCCTGTGCATGGATTATAGCTGTGGATTGGGCACTGCTCTCAGATTAAACAGATATTTCAGCATCAATAAAACCCAGATTACACCACAGCCACACACACACACACACACACACACACACACACACACACACACACACACACACACAGCTCAGAAACACATGACACGCACACTCATGCACATGTGCACACACACAAATTATACACTACATTCATGATGGAGTGTAAGAACGAGGTGCATTTATTACGTCACTAAGCTTGTCTTCATCTGCTTTTGCAGTCCATTTTTTGTCTGGATGTTTATGCTCATAGAAAAGTTCTGTATTCTGTGGCTTTAGCACTTTTTCTTGGTGGTTACCTGTAATTGAGAAATCAAGACAGCTTTTTAAAAAGCTGTAACCGTTTTTTCATTGTGTTTTTATGATCCTTTGTAAAATGTACTGTAAAACTGTTCAATGTTTATAAAAAACTTAATATCCACATCCATCCATAAAAGTTAATCAGTTGTGTTTTGGCAACACAAAACACCTTTCTTGGAAAAGAGGTGCCTCTGATTCAGCCTTTCAAATGTTTTATTTCCTGCCCTGATGATGGGAATGGCACATTTTAATTTCTTTCACTCTTTGTCCTCCTAATTTCTGCCCCACGTTTCTTTCCCTCCCTCCTCTTTCTTCCATGAACCGATAGATCCATCTCAGAGCGTCTGGATGCCGTGCAGGAGATGTTGGGGTCGGACTCTCTCCCCTTAACTTCCACCAGATCCCTTCTGTCACACTTGCCCGACCTGGAGAGGGGCATCTGCAGCATTTACCACAAAAAGGTAAAAAGGGATGAAACTTCGACCCCTGCTGATGTTTCACACAGAATTGATTCGGTTAGCGGCGGTAGCACCTGAACACAAACACTGTTCAGTCTCACATGCATGAGAAATTAGAAAATGGTGGCCAGCACAGTCTATCAATGGGAAACGTTGTGCACTCTTATATTAGTTGGATCTTCATTTTACTCATTGTCTTAAGCTGACATCTGTGGGCAGAGTAGTTGGTGAAATCCTGGAAACAATGGCCAAAATCAGAAGAAGAAAATTTCCTTTCCCTCACCCATTTTCTCTCTTTCTCTTGCTCTCCCTCGCACTCATGCCTCTTGATTAACAACAGGGAGCGGTCGCCTCAGTGGCACTTACCTGATTGTCTGACACAATCTCATTTCCCATCGGACCCATCTTTGAAATGTCAGAAAGCTTCATCTGTGTGTGTGTGTGTGTGTGTGTGTGCGTGCGTATTGTACTGAAATGAGAGAGGAACTCTAATATGAGCTCGACGTCTTGTTCCGTGCTCACATTACCGACTCCTTCATATTTAGTTTAAAGAAAATAATCAAATGTCACTGAGAACATATACACACACACCTTAATTGTCACTTTGCCCATCTGTAGATAAATGGGTCTGTGTGTAATGGCCTGTGGCCTCTATTGCTCCATTGACATAATGGGAGGGAGGGCACGGTTATGGTTTCCAGTCAGTGTCTGTTTGGGTTCATAAAAGAGCAACAAGGGGGCTGCTGACATGAGGGACCATTAAAACTGCAGCCTGTGATTAATACCACTGCAGACCATTGTCAGTGTGACTCTCATTAACCTTTCATGACATGGAGCTGCACTGTGACATTGCCGATGGCTATATGAAGTCAATATACTCTATAATATCACTTCAGAGATGGAAACACAGAGTATTGATTCATCATTAATTTGATTTTGATCACCAGTTTTATTTTTAAAGCCACAACATTGATTTTTAGATATATCACATGATACAGCCCTATTTCCTTTATGGTCGAACATCATCAGTTACTGAAAGACATTTATATAACATCAAATAGTTTGATAGTGGCAGAGTCAGTCACCTGATTTGATAAATAAAGAAAAGAGGATGAGATCAGTGACTTAACAAATCCTCACATCTCACTGATATTCTGTCGCACACAATGCAGTGAGGCAGCTGTGATATTAAATTTTTTGGGTGGGTGGGTGCGTGGGTGGAGTTGGTGACTGACTGCGTTGGCTGCAGTCGGTGGTCGTGCTTTAAGCTTGGCTGCCATACCCAGAGCAGAAGAGATTTAGTGATCTAATCTCTCTGCTTTAAAGAAATAAAGCACAGACATTCTCTCTCTCTCACACACACACGTTTCTTATTTGTGTTTCATAAATCACCATTACAATCTGATCAGGCGCAGCTTCCTTTACTGGCGGATACGATGTCAGAATGACTGCCTGCTGTACCACTAATGCTCCAATGATTGTGCATGTCTCTCTGTGTGTGTGTGTGTGTGTGTGTGTGTGTTTCTGGTTGTGTGTGTTCTCAGTCTTCCACGCAGGAGTTTTACGTCATTACTAGCAGTCTCTGTCGCATAGGGCTTGAACTCCAGGCTTTGGTCCCAGCTATCGAGGCACAGATCAGGTCCAAGCTGCTCCAAAGCCTCTTGTTGGACATTCCCAACCTGCTGGCTCCAGCCCACAGCTTCCTCAAGGTGCTCAACAAGAGTGCAGCCCAGTGAGTATCTGGCAGCTTGAAAAGGAGATGTGAGGATTTTACATGAGCGGTGATACAAAATGGAAGAATACAAAAGTGTCATATACAAAAACACTCTTGGACTAAATAGTCAGTTAAGAGGAGAGTTTTCGTTGAGAAGACTGGGAGGAATGTTTTACACAGAAACTGATTACTGGTGTACAAAGTGCCTATGTTTTATCTGGCAAACTAAACCTTATGGATGATTATTTATAGTTATGGTTTGTAATTGTAAGAGAATACGGTCAATCATATTGACACCATCATATTTGGGAAGACTGTCCTGCCAAATAAATTGACTGGTACTCTGCACTGTGATTCTCACCTTTATCTAACAATTTAAGAAAAGTAGAACATTTATGAATTTATTTGTCGTGCATTTTATTTTCACATGGACATAGAAGCAAGTACCACTAGACATTGTATTAGAATATACACATTTAAATACTTTGGTTTGTTTAAAGTATTTAGTATTTATTTACATTATACATCTCTGATGATTGAGAGATTCTTCTGTAATGGATTTATTTGATCCAGTAACTAGTGTCTCACATGTGGACTTTATATTTGTGCAGGATGGGGAATAAGACAGAGCTGTTCTCAGACCTGTCCAGCTTCCCGGTGCTACAAGAAAGGAGGGAGCAGATCCAGTCTGTACTCGATGAGATTCAAGACCACCGCAAAGAGATCCGACTGACGCTGAAGGCCCCCGCACTCGACTACATTACTGTCTCTGGACAGGAGGTACTGTGTGTGTGTGGTAGGAGAATGATGGCTTTATTTGGGTGAAAGTCTGACTCACTGTGATGATCAGATTTCTTCTCAGTGTGTGTGTCAGTTTTAATCAGAAGAGATATTATTTTGTCCGTCTGCTCCGTAGTCTTCATGAAAGTTTTCTTCCTCCTCTTCATCCTGTGCTCTCAGTTTCTGATTCAGGTGAAGAACTCGCTGGCATCTACTGTTCCACGTGACTGGGTCATAATCAGCAGGTTAGTTCACAGTGCACGCACTCTCTCACTCACCTTTTCACACATTCAAACTCTCTCTCTCTCTCACACTCTCTCTGTCTCTCACACACGCACACACACTCACACTCATTCGCTCTCACTCTCTGTCTCTCACACACACACACACACACACACACACACACACACACACTCACTTTGTTTAGCTCCTGTCTTTTTAAGACCACCCACCCATTAAAGCCCAGTCTGCTCTGATTGGTCAGACCTCTGCACCATCATTGTCACAGGTTTATCATGTACAACAGCAACAATGTTTGCCGTCGGAAAATCCCTCAATACATTTTAAATGTTTATTTTAAGCTCTGTATTAATACTTTGAAAAGGAATGACCTGATGTCTTTGACTGTATAAATAAAAGTGTTTGTTACAGTTTGGTCAGTGATGCTCTGCTCGTATCTACATTTGTACGACAGGTCGGACTGTTCCTGCTTTTCTCTCTCCTCCTGTTTCCACTGCGAGCGCAGTGCATGATGGTTTATATTGTTCGGTTAGCGACCATCAGTTGTACGCTACTTTTCACTTTGTGGGATACAAAATGGCAAACTCACTTTATAGTGGACTATATATTTCAGGAGCTGTGTTTTCTGTGGAGGAGAGAAGCTCCCTTCCTGGGACTGTGGGCTTTTTAACTTTGCAGACCTCTTTACGTGCACAAAATACTCTAGAGGAGTTAACTTAAAAAGCATCATATGTCTCCTTTCATTTTTTTGTTCTCTGCCTTCTTTACCACACTTATATCCCTCATCTCCTCTGCAGCACCAAGACAGTCAGCAGGTATCACTCTCCTTTCCTGGTGGAGCACTACAAGAGGCTGCAGCAGCTCCGCGAGCAGCTGCTGCTGGACTGTCAGAGGGAGTGGATCAATTTTATGGAGTATGACACTTTGCATCAACGCACACACATCGATCACAAACACAAATAAAGAAGTGTTTAATACATGGGTCAGAGAGATGCCTGCACAGTTCTCAGTCTGCCAGAACATATCTGTTTTAGACAAGTCACTGTCGCGTCCTCAGAATAATGAATGCACTTACCTTGACTCTCTCCTCCCTCCCTTTCTCTATGTAGTGAGTTTGGAGAGCACTATAACACCATGAAAAGGGCTATTAGTCACCTAGCAACCATGGACTGTCTCCTTTCATTGGCTGAGGTTGCTAAACAAGGGGACTATTGCAGGTGATGTCTGCTCATAATGACCATAAATATTGGTGTTTGTGTGGAAGTGTGTATTGAGTTTGTGTGCATGCACGCATGCATTTTTTTGCTGTATCGTGTGCGTGTGGGTGTCTTGAGTCGTGTCCTATAGTCTCAGACAGGCTGTGTGTGGGAGTGTGCACTGGGCTCACGGCGTGCTCTGCCAGAACGCCAACATCTCTCCCCCGCACACACGCATGCACGCACGCACACACACACACACACACACACACACACACACACACCTGTGCACATTTTGTCTATTTCCAAACATATTAGTATTTTAGTTTTACTCCCCTTTGTAACTTATTTATTTGATTTGATTTTATCCCATTTTTCAAAATGTAACTTTCCAAAACCTTCATTTTTGGTCTAACTTTATTATTATAATAGTTAGACTTTTATGGTTATTTATTATTATTTTATTAGTCTATTATTAGACTTTATTTATATCCTAAATAAAGCAGAGAATATAACACAGTGATATTGTGACATTCAGCTCCAGGAGTCAGTTTTAATGATACGCCATCTTTAGACTTCTATGTATAATGTATATTGTGTGTGTGTGTGTGTGTTATGCTAAACTGACTTAAGTGTGTTTTCTTTCTTCAGACCAGTTGTGTGTGAAGATCAGCGTCAGATCATGATCAGGGATGGCAGACACCCTGCTATAGATTTACTTATGGGCGTGCAAAACCAGTATGTGCCCAACCACACTGAACTACAGGTACACACACACACACACACYCACACACACACACACACACACACACACTTCCTTGCTCGCTGCTGGAGTGGGTGTAGGTTAATCTTGCCACAGAAGCACAGAGCCAGTAGGGAAGAGAAGCCAAGCATTCAGTCCTCCCACCTCCTCAGCTGTGCAACAGCATGCAGATATCTTATTCTGTCTCTTGTTCATCGTCTGTCTATGACACTCTTTTTCATCTCCTCTCCTCTCCTCTCCTCCAGGGTGATGGCAGGAGAACTATGATCATCACTGGCCCTAACATGGGGGGTAAGAGCTCCTACATTCGTCAGGTGGCTATGATCTGCATCATGGCTCACATGGGCTCGTATGTGCCGGCCTCTGAGGCCCGTCTGGGTGTACTGGATGGGATTTACACCAGGTATGAACACAAGCATGTGTAAAAACCACCACTGCTTTTTTTTCACATGTTTGACAACTGTGAACATACACAGCTTAGAAAGATGATAACAAACTGAATATGCTGACATGGTGAAAACATACGTTCTATCTTCCCAGAGTGACTCTGACAAAAGTAATTAATAAAGTAAAATAAATGCACACTACCCTAAAATCAACTGCATTGATGTGTTTTTTAGTTGCATTTGCCCCATAAAACATGATAAGACATCTTTTCAGTTTGCAGTGATTTACATTCAATAATTTAATGGGGCTGCATCACTGATTATACACTAAAGCTATGTATAGACACTTTATGCAAAACCCTCTGTGAATATAAAAAGAAATGACTGAGTATGAATTGACAACACCATCCACTACAACCTCCTCTTCCACTTCCTCTTTTTCTACTTCCACTTCTAAATCAGACCAATTACCACATGATAGAAAAAGAAAACAGTGGCTGTTGCACACACACAATGTGCCAAGACACTAACAAGTTGACTAACAAGGTGACAGACCGATGGTGTGAAATTATTTATTTTTAAAGTCGGTGTTATAATTTACAGACAGGAGCCTGCTACCGTTGCAGTTCTTGTCATGAGCTGTCGCTACGTTCGCATAAACGAGATAATGTCCGCCTTGTGACACAGAGTTTATTTTAAGCGCTGACACTAATCCCTTCCTATCCCATTGGTTCCTCACCACACGGGAGCAGAGATGTGAGGGGGGTAAAAGTTGAAGAAGAGTTGTTAAAAAAGGCCAGATCCATTGTTGTGTTATTGATTGCTACAATGCGTCTCCCTGTATCGTAGGACCCACCAGACAATAAGGCTTTGTGAGAGAACATCTCTCTTCCTCTGCCGCTGATGCTTGCTCTCGTTAGGATCAGGGTAGCTGTAAGCTCTGTGTGTAGTTTCCAGCCCTGACTACACAGGCCAATATATGGTTTCTGTTATACAGCCTCTGCTGCACCATGTGATTAAACCCTAATGGCTTGCAGATGTGTAATTGTCGTTTTTTTGTGGGTATAAGCATGTTCTTATGTATTAACCCAGCGGGAGCGAGCGACGTGTCAGCAGCATAAGACTGTGTGTGTGTGTCCGTGTGTGTGTATTCTTCTATCCTATAGAGAAAGAGATTAGTGTAATGAGGTGATTGCTCCTCACATCTTTAAGTGTGTTTAAATGTTGGACATTGTGAGATGGGGTTTTTCAACAAGTTTGTTGATTTTGCAGAGAAAAAAAATCAGGCATGTTGAAGGGAACAGATCCAAACAAAAATCTGGATCTAGTGATTTTAAATGTTGTTTCATAAAGGGGCTTTTTGGCAAAGGTAGAGGAGTTATGCACTCTACTGAGGACACACTTGAGGATGTTGCAGTACATGGTCATTACCTTAAATGTCATCACGTCGCTACTGTTGATCTGTTTTTATAGAAAACGTCATATTTATAGATATTTCTAGGTTGAGGTTTGAGTGCAGTTAATGCTTTTTTAGAATATCAGTCTCCTCAGTCAGATCAGTCGTACTCTGATGTTTACTCAGGTCTCTGATCATGGTTGAAGATTATCTCTTTCTCTCAGTGAAAAAAACCAAGTTACAGCTAATTAATATCCACAGAGAAAACTCTCTCTCTCACACACACACACACAC